CTTTCAATGCTTGTTGTGAAGATGTCACACGGCAGCCGAGTGTGTTAGAAGAGAAAAGCAATATTTTTTTATTGATTTAGTGATGTGTGTGGAAGGAAAAAGAATATCACTCTCTCGATTGTCATGCACTAAAATAACCACCATTAATTGTGTGTAGTGGGTGGTTTAACTTTTAAAAATTGGTGCAGAGAACGAAAAAAAAAAATCGTCCTTATTTACACCTTTCATTAATTAAATATATAGTTCGTCCTTGTGATGAAAAGATGTCCATAACGTAATATTAATATTATTTAGTAAATCAGCCGTGAGAGGAGTAATTTTCTCAAAAAAATTCCCTACAAATTCAACAAGTTTTTGGCAATAACAACTGCAAAATTGAGTGCATGGGCCATTTCCTCCATCAAAAAAATCAGAATTCTGTTAAAAATACCGAGGCCCAAAACCCAACAGCGCAAAATATAATTTGTCCACAGCCCGTAAGAAGACTCTCGAAATCGGTCAATCCTTATCCCATCACACACTCGGAGACAAAAACGGAACCAAAATTTTCAGACAGCTCTCCATAATAATCCTAAACTACCGAAAGCAATCCCTATCTTTAGAAAGTTCCATCAACTCAACCAAACATGGCCTTAGTTCCGAGCTTCTTCACCGGCCATCGGACCAACATCTTCGACCCGTTCTCCCTCGACCTGTGGGACCCGCTAGAGGGCTTCACCTTCCCGACCGCCGCTGCCTCCTCCTCCTCCTCCACCGGCCGGGAGACGTCCGCCGTGGCCCACACGCGCGTCGACTGGAAGGAGACGGCGGACTCCCACGTCTTCAAGGCAGACCTGCCGGGGCTGAGGAAGGAGGAAGTGCGGGTGGAGGTGGAGGAGGGCGGCCGAGTGCTGGCCATCAGCGGTGAGAGGACCAACACTACAAGAAATTGTCAAAATGCCAACGGAAATTACCAACAAAAATTTTGCCGTTAGGGATTGCCAACGGATTGCCGACGAATTAGCAATGCATTATATATACAATT